GAAACCCTGAGAGTATGGCCCCAGGACACCCTTTCAGCTCAGTATTGAAGTCACTCCTGAGGTTCACTCTTTAGTCAAAGATTATACAGGCCTATAAAACAAAGTGAGACTAAATGGGCACACCAGTCCAGGGGCAAGGACGAGAAGGTAAAAGGAGACAGAAAGCTGGTAATGGGGAACCCAAGGTCGAGAAGGGGAGTGTTGACACGTTGTGGGGTTGGCAACCAATGTCACAAATTGATACATGTATTAACTGTTTAATGAGAAACTAATTTTCTCTGTAAACCTTTATCTAAAGTACGATAATAAAAAAAAGAATACCATTTCTCTGTATTATGATCATGGGGGGAGGTGGCAGGTGGGAGACTATTCAGGAAAAATTGTGACTTTGAAACTGGTAAAAAAGAGGAAGAAGAAAGATTATCGTGTGTCCTCTCTAGTGTATCCTTCTGAGTTATCTCTACCTCTCATTGCCTTTGAGACATTTTTCAACTCTGTAAGTTGTAGAAAACTGTTAGTAATGTAATAATTCTTGTCCTTAGAAATGCAAATGAATTGTGTTCCATGGAGATGAAATTGATGAAATTGATCATTGCCCTGTGAATATTGGCCTGTTTTGCATCTTCATGTAAATTCATTTCAGCATTCCTATTTGCCTATGCGTGTTTTAATTCTCTTTTGAACCAGCTGTAACAGCTTACTGATTCTCTTATTAATTAATAAGTTAATAAAAAAAAAAAATGGAAAATAAAACTTAAAAAAAAATGATAGATGTGGAAGACAGGTAAAGAAGATCCAAAACATGCATAGAATCCCTAAAGAAGAAAATCAAAGTAATGGAATAAAAACAAATGTTTTAAAGTATAGTTTGAGAAAATTTTATAGAAATAGAAGAATACTTGAATTTACATATTGAAAAAGCACATTATATATCAGGAAAAATTGACACAGAATGGTCCACACTAAGACATTTCCCAATACAGTCTGTTCCACTACAACATTTGCTTTATAATGCAAAGTGACTCATATGCAATTGATAAGTAGGGGAATGACGTCAGTATAACACAGAAGTCATGTTGGTTCACATACTACTGTTCCTAGCACATTAATGTTTTGCACTACCAAGCAACAGCAGTTGAGCACAAAATACACCAAGAGCTAAACCCAACAGTACTCTATGTTCTTCTTCTTGGCTCAGTTTCATCACACGTTCTATCTTAGAAGTGATTTATTACATGTTTCTCCCCAATCCTTGTGCATATTTTACTAAATTTTTTTAAATGTCTTTTTACAGTTGGTTTGTTTGAATTAGGATCCAAACAAGGTTCAGACATTGTACATATTTGATGTATCTTTTAAGTTTCTTTCAATCTACAGGTTTCTTCCCCCCTTTTTGTCCCTAATAACATTTATTTATTAAAGAACCAGCTAATTTGTCTTCTGGAATTTCCCACATTCTGTATTTGGCTGATTATATCCTGACAGTGTCATTTAAAATGTTCCTCTGTCCTCTGTATTTCCTGTATTTCTAGAGGCTTAATTAGATTCAGGTTCTCTCTCTCTCTCTCTTTTTTTTGCAAAAATACTTCATAGGCAGAGCTATAGACTTCCTATTGCACCACATTTGAAAGGATCATAATACATTACCCCACTTTAAGCGAAGCCCTGTTATTTTTAGTGCATGATTTTGCAGAATGAGAAAAATTTCAGAAATGAATATAATGTTTTATAGCAGAAATGCCATAAAATTACTAGACTTTAAAGATGAACCTTTTCGGTAGCCATGCAATAAGATTGTCACTTATAAGCGGTGGCGGGGGGTGGGTGGGGGGAGATGGGCTAAGATTTCTCTTTAGCAACAATGAATTTTAGAAGGAGTAGATCTTTACAAAGCAAAATCTAACATCTAACTCTAGGCTATATATAAGAGCATACTAAAATCAAGTTAGGCAGAAAAGTTAAAAAATAAAAGGATGGGCAAATATATACTACCCAAATGCGAAAATGAAGGAGGATGATAAAGAGGAAGAGAAAGAAAAAGAAAAGAAAGCAGGGATTGCAACCTTAATAGCAGATAAGGTTGAATACCGGGGGAAAAGCATTAAACAAGGAAAAAAATGAAATCCACAATGAAAATATATGTTACAAATACCGAAGCACAAAAAAACACAACAAAGTAAAAATTGTAGGAATTATAAGGAGGAGGAACATAAACTCATAAAACCTAATTTACCTCTCTCAATCCATGACAGCTTAAAGGAATAACAACAATGACAACAACAAAAAGTAAGGGTATAGAAGACCTAGATAATATACCTAGAAAGGTAGATTTAATGGAAATATACTCTATACTCTGAAAATATACTCTAAACCCTGAAAAGAGAAAACATATCTTTTCATGTGCCCTTCAAACATTTATAAAACTTATCACAAAGAAACCTGAATAAATTTCAAGACATAGAAATAAAACAGACAGCATTATCTGATCACAATGCAATAAAATTAGAAATTAATAATGCAATCAGAAAACAAACAAACAAAAAAACCTAACACAGCCATTTTTAAGAACTGAAACTCTAGAATGTCTAGAAAACAATATAATGAAAATACCACGTACCAGAATCTACAGGCTACAGATAAAGCAGTGCTCAGAGCAAAATTCATAGCCTCAATGTTTTTTATTGACAAAAGTATGTGAGACGCTAGCTGTCCACCAAAAGAATCCAATTCTTCTTTCTAGGAACATAGCTAGACTATATTTATATTTCTTAGCCTTCACTGACATTTAGGGTTGGGCATAAGAATGAGTTCTAGCCAGTGGAATGGAAATGGAAGTGATACATGTGAATTTCAAGCCTGGCCCATAAAACTACACTATTTTCCATGTTCTTTTGTGTTCTGCATCAGAATGTTGATGTCCAGGGTGACTTTGGAAGCCATGCATTGAATAAGGTTGGCAGAGCATCCATCAGCTTAGGTCCTAAATGATAAATCGCAGCAGCAACCCTCAGCTCCAAGTAGCATAACTGCAACTAGTGTAATTTTAAATAATATAACAACAAAAATACAAATAAGTTAAACATCTAAATCAAGAAATTACAAAAAGAACAAAATAAACCTGAGAAAACAGAAGAAAGAAATTCATTAAAAATAAAAGAAATTAATTAGAAAACATAAAAATGCAGAACTCATACATAATCTAAGCGGTAATTTTTTGGAAAAGCAATAAAAGGAAGAAAGCACAAATGTTAAAATAAAAAATGATAAGAGGTTAATAATCAATTGGGAATTAAGAGACTCAACCCTATGAAAGTAACATTGAAAATCTAGATGAAAGGGATAATTGTCTAAGAAAACAGCATGTACCAAACTGACTCTAGGAGAGACAGAAAAGCAAAGCAGACTAATTATCATAGAACTAAGAGGAAGTTGTTATAACAGACACCATCAGGGTTCTACTCATATCCCTTAGAGATCTTTCCCATAGGCTTTGGTTATGCTTTTGCTTTTCCAAAAGCCCTTATCTTGGACTCTTCTTAGAAGGACTGCCTTTAGGTACTGGAACCACTCTGCCTGCATGTGCAGAGAGTTTGAAGTGCCTTCGAGTTTATGTTCCTCCTTAACCAATGACTGACTGGTGCAGAAATTTATAGAAATTCATATAGGAATATGAATATCCATATTCCTATCTTGGGTGAGGACAAACTGTGATGCATAATTTATACTCAGTAATCCTCTTAGTGGGATTAAATTAAAGTTAGTCTACTCTTAGAGGGACTCTGCCTGAAACTGTACCCTTGAATGGCTTCTTCCCCTTTCCTGTCCTGCTGCCCCCACTCACTGTTTTTTCCTAGGAGTACTTCCTTAAAAAATCACTTGCACATAAATCTTCACCTCAGTGTCTGCTTCTGAGAAACCCAACCCAGACAGTTGTCAAAGAGCTACACATGGTGAACCCCATCCCCAGAAAAGAGAAGAAGGCCTAGTCAATTTCACAGAAGAATGTTATTGAGCATTTAAGGAATAAACTTTTCCAGAGAATAGAAGAAAGGGAAAGTTTCTACATTATTTATATGAACATGATATCAAAATCTGTCAGACACCATCCACACTCAAAAGAAAATGACACACCAATAATTTGTAAATACTAGGAAACAGAATTCATCAGCATATTAAAAGAACACACCACGACCAAATTGAGTTTATTCCAGGAATGCAATGATGACTTACTTTAGGAAACCTATTATTATAATTCAATATACTAATAGATTAAAATGTAAAAAACGTGCGATTATCTCCATAGAGGCTGAAAAGATATGCAATTCAATATCCATTGATTTAAAGAAATTCTTACTAAAACAGGAACAGATGGACACATAATATTAAAAAAAATCTATATATCTAAACCTAAAAGTCAGTATCATACTTAATGCGGAAATAGTTATATATATATATGCATATATATACATATATATACACACATACATATATATAAATACATATACACATATGAAAGTGAATATTATCCTTAATGAGGAAACAGTAACAAGTTACTATATAAATTAAAAATGTTTACTACTTTTTTGATTATTTAATGACAAAATGTTAGCAGTATTTGGTATCTTGATTACGGTGTGGAAGACTCTGTAGCCTACATCTATTCAGAGGTAAACCCTGATTAAATCAGACATTAAATCTGGTTAACTAAGAGCAATAATGTTATACTGAATAACAATGATCCTATTTTTTATATTCAATGCTATGCTTTCATTAAAAGCAAGATTTAAAAAAAAATTACTCCAAGCAGTATATTATGGAATCAAAACATATATGTATATAAATATATATATATATAATGGGCAAAAAATAGTTTTTAAAAGATGATTTGACTGGTTATTACGTAGTACAGTGGAACAAATTTCTGGTGGAAAAGATTTGGCTTATTTAGATTGTAAACACCCCCCATAACTGTGTCACCAAACTCCCAGTTCCCACTGTACCTGTTTCTTTCAGGAGATTCCAGATGTCTTTGCATTTATGGATCTGTTTAAGCGCACGATTCAGCAACTGAGTCTATTTGGAAACAATGCAATGATATAATTAGTCTCAAAAAAAAGAACTTTAAGCAATGAATAATATATCATTTTCATTAAAAACAGTTGAAAAGAAAATGATAGAAAAATGGTAGTTTAAACTGAACATCTGGGAATTTATACAGAAATATTAACCTTTATTCACCCTATTCCTTAACGTCCCAGGAAAATGAGAATTAAATAGAAAGCCTTGAGCATTATCAATTTCTTTGTAGGACAGAAGAGAAGCACTTCAAGAACGGTGATGTGAGGAGCTCTGTGGACAAACTCCCCAGCAAAACAACCATAACTGGTGAAAATTATAAAACACAACCATAAAAGTCTATAGAAATTGTCCTAAGGGCATACAGAGCAAATGAAGAAACATTTATCCCAAGAAATCTACTAGATCATGTTAAGAACAGAGTCAGCAGCACTTAAACCATGACCCACTCCCCTCCAACAGCTCTGTGTAATTGGAAACTACTTCAGTTGAGTGTGGCCAAAATGATGGGGTTTGCTCTACCAAGCTTCCAGGATAGGGATTCCTGGGAGGGGCAAGCTGCCAGCATTTCTCATCTGGTCTGTGTTGCAGATGCCCTATTACAAGCAAGTGCAGCTGAGAGGCCTGAAGAGCCCTTCCTCCATCCAGCCCAATTTGTAGGGCAGAAGCTCTACCCCAGGCATGCAAATTTAGAATAAGGGGCCTTGATCTCCCTTGCCCAGCTTGCTTATAGGGTGGAGATTCCATGGCAGAAGAGGCAAACCAAGAATAGCAGGGGCTACCACTTCCTGTGTTACAGAAGCATGACTTTAATTGGATCAGACTGTGGAGCAATTTATGTTCAAGGACATTAAAAAAAAAAGAGCAATCATCTAGCAATTAGTTGAGACCAGCAGCTGGATGTGATTATGATAAAAGTAGACCAGCCAGAAGCTTAACAGGGAGATCAGAAAAAGAGAGTCAAAGAGAGCCCTGCTAAAACCACTGTCATCCCCTGGGGAGGGGGGTATCAGGGTGACTGTCCACGACCAAGGCTGTGCCCTCTGAGGAGTGACATCAGAGGCTGTATGTTGTTGTTAGGTGCCATCCAGTCGGTTCCGACTCATAGCGACCTTATGTACAACAGAACGAAACACTGCCCAGTCCTGTGTCATTCTCATGATCATTGTTATGCTTGAGCCCCTGTTGCAGCCACTGTGTCAATCCATCTCTTTGAGGGTCTTGCTCTTTTTTGCTGAACATCTACCAAGCATGACGTCCTTCTCCAGGGACTGGTCCTTCCTGATAACATGTCCAAAGTATGTCAGACGAAGTCTTGCTATCCTCACTTCTAAGGAGCATTCTGGTTGTACTTCTTTCAAGACAGATTTGTTCATTCTTTTGGCAGTCCATGGTATAGTCAACATTCTTCGCTAACCTTATAACTCAAAGGCGTCTATTCTTCTTCAGTCTTCCTAATTCATTGCCCAGCTTTTGCATGCATACGAGGAGATTGAAAACACCATGGCTTGGGTCAGTCTCACCTTAGTCCTTAAAGTGACATCTTTGCTTTTGAATACTTTAAAGAGGTCTTTTGCAGCGGTTTTGCCCAAGGCAATGCGTCTTTTGATTTCTTGACTGCTGCTTCCATGGGCGTTGATTGTGGATCCAAGTAGAATGAAACCCTTGACAACTTCAATCTTTTCTCTGTTTATCATATTGCTTATTGGTCTAGTTGTGAGGATTTTTGTTTTCTTTATGTTGAGGTGTAATCCATACTGAAGGCTGTGGTCTTTGATCTCCATCAGTAAGTGCTTCAAGTCCTCTTTGCTTTCAGCAAGCAAGGTTGTATCATCTGCATGATGCAGGTTGTTAATGAGTCTTCCTCCAATCCTGATGCCACGTTCTTCTTCATATAGTCCAGCTTCTCAGATTATTTGCTCAGCATATAGCTTGAATAAGTATGGTGAAAGGATACAACCCTGATTCACACCTTTCCTGACGTTACACCACGCAGTATCCCCTTGTTCTGTTCAAACGACTGCCTCTTGATCTATGTACAAGTTCTTCATGAGCACAATTAAGTGTTCTGGAATTCCCATTCTTCACAATGTTATCCATAATTTGTTATGATCCACACAGTTGAGTATCAGAGGCTGTAGACTCAGAGGGAAATAGATTTCATTGAACTAGCTCAGCCAAGTTACTAGAAAAATAAACAAGTAAACAATAAAAACAACAGGGGGGAGATCAGTATCCAAAGATGCTGCAATGTATTATCTAAAATGCAACAAAAATTACAAGATATGCAAAGAAACATGAAAGTGTGACCTATACACAGGAAAAAAACAAGCAACAGACACTGACTTTGAGACAGCCCAGATGTTGAACTCAACAGAAACAGACTTCAAAGCAGCTATTATAAAATGTTTAAGCAACTGAAGGAAACCATACATAAAAAAGGAAAGAAAGGTATGATGACAGTGTCTCATCACAATGAGAATCTAAATAAAGAGAAAGTGTAAAAAAAAGAACCAATTGGAAATTCTGATGTTGAAAACACACAAAAATAAATTAAAAAATTCACTAGATGAATTCATCATCATGTTTGAGCTGGCCAAAAAGGAATCAGTGAACATGAATATAGACCGACAGACATTATTAAATATGAAGAATGGAGTAAAAAAAGAATGAAGAGAAATTCTAGGAAGATTGTGGCATCAGCATGTCTAAGATCCCAAACCTACCCACATGAACACAAAGAAAAGCAACTAGAAGTCTGTACTCAGCCCTGTGAGAAACCTGAAATGTTGGGCAAAGGACCAGAACAAGGAGCTACAAACTAAATCAAGACAAGAATAAAATCTTATACAGTAGGAAAAGCACCCCTCCCCCTTCTTGGTGCAGTACACAAATGGCTGCAGCAGAGCTGCAGCTGCATTTGCACCTCTAGCCAACCCAATGCTCTCTTGTGCTCTGAAAAGGGCACCATATCTGGCTCTCATATACACCGGACAGATATTAGTAGCAGGCTGCTCAGGGTGTATACTCTGACCAGTCTGGAGGCAGCTTGAAAAACTGAAACTTCAGTCTGGGTGGAATCAGAGCCCTCACAGAGCAGGGAAGGAGCAGCAACCAAGGACACAGGGCTATATGTGCCTAAGGGTGGATTAATCAGTGTGTACTTTGGGACTGATAATGTACTGATACCTTGGTCTGGCTAGAATCAGTGCCCTCACAGAACAGGGAAGGGAGCAGTAACCAAAGACTAAAAGATGTGCCTCTTTGAGGGTGGAATGATTAATGTGTGTTTTATGATGTGTCTAGGAGCCACTGAAGGACTGAAAAATTGATCTGGCCTGAATCAAAGATGTCACAGGAAAGGAGAGGGAGCAGTAAGGAAAACCTGAGACAAGTTTCTTGAAGAAATTAGCACCGGTGAAAGCACTAAATATTTGGAGGAATGGAGAAAGCTAACACTTTGTAAAATTCTAATGTCTCGGCTTCAACAAAAAAATCACAAGCCACCCAAGGAAACTTAAACTGATGGTCCATCTAAGTGAACAAAATGAAGGGAGAGAAATCATATTTATGGAAGCCCAAGTAATGAACATGTTGTTTTTGTTAGGTGCTGTTGAGTCAGTTCCAACTCACAGCAACCCTGTGCACAACGAGCGAAGCACTGCCAAGTCCTGTGCTATCCTCACAATTGTTTTTATGCTTGAGCCCATTGTTGCAGCCACTGTGTCAATCCATCTCATTGAGGGGCTTCCTCTTTTTCACTGACCATCTACTTTACAAAACATGATGTCCTTCTCCAGGGACTAGTCCCTCCTGATAACATGCCCAAAGTATGTGAGAGGAAGTCTCGCCATCCTTGCTTCTAAGGAGCATTCTGGTTGTACTTCTTCCAAGACAGATTTGTTGATTCTTCTGGCAGTCTATGGTATATTCAATATTCTTCACCAAAGGCATCTATTCTTCTTCAGTCTTCCTAATTCATCGTCCAGCTTTCACATGCATATGAGTTGACTGAAAACACCATGGCTTGGGTCAGTCTCACCTTAGTCCTTAAAATGACATCTTTGCTTTTTAACACTTTAAAGAGATCTTTTGCAGCAGATTTGCCCAATGCAATGTGTCATTTGATTTCTTGACTGCTGCTTCCATGGGCATTGATTGTGGATCCAAGTAAAATGAAATCCTTGACAACTTCAATCTTTTCTCCATTTATCATGATGTTGCTTATTGGTCCAGTTGTGAGGATTTTTGTTTTCTTTATATGTTGAGGTGTAATCCATACTGAAGGCTATAGTCTTTGATCTTCATCAGTAAGTGCTTCAAGTCCTCTTCACTTTCAGCAAGCAAGGTTGTGTCATCTGCATACCGCAGGCTGTTAATGAGTCTTCCTCCAATCCTGATGCCTCGTTCTTCTTCATATAGTCCAGCATCTCAGACTATTTGCTTAGCATACAGATTAGAATAAGCATGATGAAAGGATACAACCCTGACACACAACTTTCTTGACTTTAAAGCACGAAGTATCCCTGTGTTCTGTTCAAACAGCTGCCTCTTGGTCTATGTACAGGTTCCTCATGAGCACAGTTCAGTGTTCTGGAATTCCTATTCTTCGCAATGTGTCATGGATTGAACTATGTCCCCCCCAAAATACATGTCAACTTAGTTAGGCCATGATTCCCAGTATTGTGTGGGTGTCCTCCATTTTGTGATTGTAATTTTATGTTACAGAGGATTAGGGTGGGATTGTAACACCCTTACTAAGGTCACATCCCTGATCCAATATAAAGGGAGTTTCCTTAGGGTGTGGCCTACACCACCTTTTATCTTACAAGAGATAAAAGTAAAGGGAAGCCCGCAAAAAAAGGGACATCAGACCACCAAGAAAGCAGCGCTGGGAGCAGAGCATGTCCTTTGGACCCGAGGTTCCTGTGCTGAGATGCTCCCAGACCAAGGGAAGACTGATGACAAGGACCTTGCTCCAGATCTGACAGAGACAG